TAAATCAAAATTTAATTTTTAATAAGTATGTGTGCACTTTTAACAATTACTGCAAACCTCAGGGACATAACATTAATTAATATTACGACAAACAAATACAACGTTGATACAATACAAAAGAATATTCTTAAGAGAGGGACCTGAAAAGCCACTCGGGATTGGTTGAACTCTCCCTTCCGTCCCCAGTCTCCGACCACCAACAACCTCAACCGTCCGTCCCCTCTAATGGGCTGTTCGAATCTCTCAAACTCACCCGAAACCTCGTCGCAAAGGCCCACCAACAAGACGACGGCGAAGGCCCACAGAACCATGTTTTTCAGCCCAAAACTCCAGGCCATATATGGCTACTGATCAAAGGTAAAACCCTTAGCTGATGAGCAGGAGCCAAGTTATTATGAAAGTTATTATTTGTGTGGTGGTGTTTTAATTTTGATGGTTTCATTAGAGCATGAGAGTATTGTTATATAGGATATGTAGTCTTGGGATTATTATTATATTAATTATTTTTTTTTTGGTACAATATTATATTAATTATTACAATTATATACGTATACCTATAGATGATGAAGATAATGTATTATATTATTATCACCATTATATACATACATACCTATAAATGATGGAGATAAATAGATAATGTATCTGATGTCGGAGTATGATTGGATGGTATGTGGATATTTGATTTTGCCTGGGGGAGGTTAGAATAGTTTTTTTTTTTGTTTAGAATCAATGATTGAGCTCAGCACTAATTAGTCTTTAACCAAGAAAGTTTAGACGTACCTGGATGGAGTTAAACTTCGGGGAGATGCTAGGGTCCTGTTATAGAACAATTTCGTTGAGGTTTGTAATCGTTAGATCAACTATCTTTTACGGTTACATGATGATCTAAAACGGTTATAAATCCCGACGGAATGGTTCCATAACGGACGGCAGTATTTTCCTAAATTCGAAAGTTACTAGTTGCCCTGATTACTACTTATTAATGCAAATTAAAGGGATAATTGGGTTCGGCGATTAGGGGACGTTAATAGATGCGAATATGCGAATAAGAGATGCGCACTGGATTAAAGCAAAGGCCTACCGAATATTCCCAGGGTGGGTGGGGCCCACTGCGCCAGTTTGCATGACCCTATCCACGACCCAGGCGGACAAACAAGGTAGTCTGGATGGTCCTCTTTAATTAGATAGTTTTAATTTATCGTATATAATAACCGTCTATAAATTTTATTGAGCCAACAATTAATAATAATAGTACTAATTCATTTAATAAAAATGGGTGTTATTCATTAATAAAAATATGTTCACCATTTATTAAGATTATGTAACTTTCATCAGTTGAATGATTTATTTTTAACATGTTTCATTTTGAATGGTGTCCATTTCTTGAACGCTATTTTTATGTCATAAAATACAAAATATTTTTGTTTCTATTTTGACATTATATATATTTTGGTATTATATAAATACATATTTCACAACTAATTCAAAATTACTACAAATATCTCCATTTTCTTTTTCGGTCTTACAATAATAGAAAAAAAAATACTTTTTCGAGTAATACAAAGATACATCAAATATTTTTGAAAACCATACCCATGAAATAAAACCCTCCTGCAAAATGGTCCGCAATCAGGGGCGGAGCCACCCATAGGCTAGGGTGGGCTCCAACCCAGGTAAAGAAAAAAAAAAAAAAGAGAGAAGTTAATTTACATGTTAGATTGTTATTGTTAAATAGCCACAGGTAAATTTTTTGTTAGCCCTTGAATTAGCCCAACAAGACAACAACACAGCCCAAAAAATTTAAAATACGTTGTTGGGCTTGTTAAAATCGGTACAACTCTTACTTTTCTTCTCTCAGAAAATAGAGCTCTACTAAATTGATAGCCTATGTTAATTTGTAATCTGCAAGTTTCAAACCCCTCTACTCTCACCCTTGTTCAATCAAGCCTCTGCGACGGTGAACGAGACATCTTCCATCTGGCGCAGGCAATTGCGAGATCAGTGTGCGGGTGCGGCAATTGCGAAGAATGGAGGAAGCGAGACCTTCGGGCTTCGAGGATCGAGCATTCGCGGGCGGCAGCCAGCAAGTGAGTGGAACCGAGAGTGACTCAGAGCCCCGAGGTAACCCGACTGAACCTGAGTTTTTTTTTTTTTGGTGTATTGAGAGTACGACTGAACTTGAATTTATTTTTGCTTTATTGTGACTATGAATTGGATTGTGGTGTCAGATGTGAATTTTGTGAATTGAAGTGTGGTGACTGGTTTTTTCAAATTTTTTTGTATGTATCTTTGTTCTGTAATTTGTCATAAGTTGATTTAATTTTGGTTTGTCTCTTTGTATTGCCATATGTGAATTGAAAGTTGAAACTTTAATTGTTTTTCTCCCAATTTGTGGTTTGTGAGCCTATAGCTGTGGCTATGTTTGTTTTGTCACAAGTTTTTAAAATTTATGTTGAAGTAGAGATGAGAACATGTTTTTAGTTTAATTATATGTGTTAATGCTTGTTGATCATGTACTCAATGCTTTAGGGCGTGATTGTATATCATTTGTACAGTAAATATCCCACTCAAAACTCAAATTTAACTCAACTTTAACTCAACTCCACTATCTCCAATATTATCAATATAATTAAATAATATTAACCAATCATTACTACACATCACATCAACTTTAATTCACTATTCATCCACTCATATAATTTTAACTAACCATCACTTCCATTCATTTTCTCCTACTTTTACATCAAATCAACTTTAATTATTTTAATTTAAATATTATTTTAATATATCCACTAACAACTAATCATACTACTTTTTCAAACTTAACTATAGTTAAAAAAANNAAAAAAAAAAAAAAAAAAACTAGTTTTTTACTAGTTGAATTCATATCCAATCACTCCCTTAAAAGGTGGATGCTTGTTTGGCCTTCATAATAAGATTGTGTACAAAAACCCACAAATCATTCTTGATTATCTTTTTTTATTTCTTTTTTCATATATTTTAGATTGCTTTTACCATCCAAAGGTTTGATTAATTTACTATTTTTTGTTAACTTGATAGGTTTTAACCATAATGGAGGGTTTATGAAATTAACTTGATAGGTTTCATACATATACCTCCTCATGTTTAAGATATAATGTCCATTAATTAATTCAATTATTGATAATCAAGAATCAATTATTATAATATTTATTTCACCGAGGTTAGCGCTCGTTCATCACATTATTACTATGCCGGAATTTAATCAACCTGCAGACTTTATCATAATAATCCTTCTTGAACTCACTTCGGGGACATCATCAAACTAAATGTGGTGACCGTAAATATCCTAACAACACATCATACATACAGTAATATTACCCAAGACATTAGGAATGTTAATTCAGCGAACTGAACCTCACCCCTGTGGATCAAAATAATATATATTGCATATATATGTCTGTTTAATCTCTTACCAATTAAGAGAACGCAGTAATGAACCGAAGCCTAGTTCGTTTACGACGATCAGTATAAAACAAACTTCTCCTCTCTGAAATCATGTTCAATACATGAATGTACTAGTGCAACCAGTCAGTCAAAACAAACTTTACCGTTGACACTACAACCGTTCAGATGGGGTGTTCATCTTCATCTAGGTTGTGAACCAAAATTCTTTTTTCGCAAGTAACTGATAGAGTGATTTTCGATTTGTCGGATGACGACCCATTCTATCTAAGTGCAAAACAACAGAACATAGAACTTGTTTAATCTAACATGATTCTCATTCATAAGGGTAAATATGTAATATCATCCAAAGTCAAGCTTTCAATATATAACACTAACAATTTCGAGGCTTTCAATAAACATTATAAAATCAAAGGAAAAACAAGGTAAGTTCAAGGCACCAAAATTTGAGTTCTGAGTCCACCATTTTTCACAATTTCTCACATAGAACAACTCAAAGTATATAACATCTAAACTAAGAAAAATTCTTAAAATTATTTTAACATTGGCTTAGAATAATGTTTGTCTCATTTTTGTTGCGTTTTTTGTGTTCATTTTACCTTTCTTTTTTCCCCATTTTATGTTTTTTGTGTTCGTTTTGTGTTTTGTTCCTTGTCTTCCCCTATCTAGAGTCTTTCTATGTTTTTTTTGGTTATTTTTCAGCTTTCTTCATTTTTGCCGGCTTGAGTGATGTGCAGGTGATCGTTTTGATATGGAGGAGGAAATGATTTTGGTATGCACTATTTCATATAAGGGTTCGTCACCATTACACCGGAGAAAACGTAACCAGGTTCTATTTTTAAACGAGGGTAACTGAGCCCAAGACACAAGGAAACTAAAGTTCTCGACAAATTTATTGTACAAGGAAACGGTATAAGGCCACCATGCCGCTGCATGAAGTCCTTCACGCTACACCGACCGGGCTGTACTAAGAACTCATTTCCAGCTTCTCTCCTCCTTGCCGTTAGACGACCTCCACGGCGCTGCACTTTTCTCTCCGCGACAGCACCACCACATCACGGCGCGACAGCACCACTACACCACGGCGCGCCACAAGCATCCTCCATGCCGCGAGACAAGCTCCACGCCACGAGATGGAGCTGCTTCACGCTGCGGCAGAACCATCACGCCGCGACACCGCTGCTCATCCGTGAAGAACTGCTGCCACGTCGCGCCGCGAAGCCCCATCACGCCGTGACACCCGATCCCGCCACGCCACGTCGCCCTCACCACGGCGCGTCACTAATCGCCATCACGCCGTGCCACCTGAGACGACCACCGCGACGCCTGCAGATTCTCCATGCACCCAGAAATCCTTGGTCGCGGCCGCGACTTATCCTCCCGTGGTCGCGGCGAACAAGCGGTCCCATGTCCCTGAACTTCAGAGCAGAAAAGTCGCGGCCTCGGGATGATTTGCGGCCGCGGAGCTAATCTTCGCCGTGACCCGCGGGCCTCTCCGCGGTCGCTAAAGTCACGCTGCTACTTGTTTTAATAGCAGATTGTGAACATATTTTATTTATGCTGAAAGCGAGGTTTTTTTTTTTGTCTTTCTCGTACTTTCCTCTCCAAAACTCTTTTTCTTCATTCTCTTTTCATATTTTTGATTGAAGAATAAGGATAAAACCCAGATTTCATCATTGCTTTTGGATTAATCGTGTTTATCGGATTCAACATTCAATTTCCATTAATCGTAAGTTTTTCTATTCATTTAATCAATGGATGTGTTTGCTTCGATTATGATGATTAATGTTGTTAATTCGATTATGAGTAGCTAGGTCATTATGCTAGGGATAGAGGATTGATGTTTTAAATTCGTTTGCGATTATCA